AATCCTGAGTGAGTTATGGACTCCTGCCTGTGAGGGCTCGTCCTTTGATCTATATGGGTGAGAGTGGCCTGAGTTGCCGACTTAATATTCCTACCATTTTGGGGACAAGACCGAGTGGGGAGCTGGAAACATAACTTCACAAGATAGAATTCACTCCTCCCCGACTTTAAGGGAGTAGATAAGTGTTCTTTTAAATACTGACTCCGAGACTTGAACAAGGGGCCCCACCCTCTCACTGGCCCGAGAGGAACTTCCGGTTATTGGTCGGACCATAACCGGGTTGTTCATTAGAGGAGCAGTGGTATTTAAGGAGTAAGATGTAATTCAGGGGTAAAATGGTAATTTGACCCAGCTTGAGTTACGAACACTCGTGAAGGATTGACTTGTCATTAATGGTTGTATATCCGTGGACATAAAAATATTCTGCAGTGAGAAAAGTACAGCTGCGAGTCTTTAGTGAAGTTACCCATAGTTAACGAATGTTGATTACTCGGTCAATGAGTTTGACCGATTAATCTCGTATCGTTGGAGTTTCTGATCTGTAGGTCCATTAAGTCCCCTTGCTAGCTCATAACGGGTAAAACGAGGATCAAGTTTTTGGAAAATTTGAAATGTTCAAATTGCTCAGGGATTATATGTATAATGATACATTATAATAGATAGTTAATTCTAATTGAAACTATATATTATGAGAGAAATTATTTGAATGAGATTCAAATAAAATTGATATGAATATGATTCATAGTAAAACTATAGGTTAAAAATAATGTGCATAAGATGTAAATTACAACTATAGGTTATATGAGAGAAATCCTATAGAATATGATCATATTTTTGTAATAAATAATTAAGTGTTAATTATATATTTGATTTATATATGTATATATTAATTGTTAATTAGATTAATAATTAATTGTTATTTATTAATTAATATGATTAAATAATTAAATAAATAAATAAATATATTAATTATTAATAATATTAATAATATTAATAAATAATATTATAATTAATATATATAACTCCCTTGCAAAAATACAGGCAGTGGGGAGTTAAGTGACGTGGGGTAACTCCCCACATCACTATTTTTTGGTTTGTTTTTTGTAGAAAAATGCTAAGCCAAGAACAGAACTCCAATCGAGCAACCATTTTCTCTCCATCTCAATATCTCTCAATTCTCTCTCTCGTTCCAAAGAAACGCTCCCACAAGTGAGTTCTCGGTACCCAGAGGATAGCACAGAAGGTCTATTGGTGGTGTTCGTTGGTTTAATCCATTGAAGAAGTGTTCTTCAAAGGTAAAAAAAAAATTCTTTCCCCTGTATTTTCATCTTTGAACCTTTGATTTTGTATCTCAAAATTGGTGAACAAAGATCCGCTTCCGCTCCAGGATTCACATCTCATCATGAGGCAGGGGAGATGAAAGCAGATCAGTTCGGATCCTCCCACATGTTCAATTTTTTTTTTGCGGTTTCCCATAGAATTTGACCAGACGTGCTCGGAATCGTGTCGTAAAGTTTCGTTGTTCGTTCCGTCGTCGACCCTACCTATGTTTCTACGATGGCTCACCTTTTTTTTAATTCAGCGAGGTGTGCGAATAATTTTTGAGATTCGAATTGGTTCAAAGGCTCGGGACCAAGGAGCGTAGCTGCTATTTTCATTGGGAGTGAATAACGCTAGGACCGTATGGCAGTAGTCTGTATTTATTCACCCCAAGAATGAACGGGACTTTGTCTCACGGGATGATTTTATTAACACGTCTCGACTAGAAATGCAACTCTCTTACTCTCTCAATCCTTTGCAATTGGATCCCACAATCTGGATTCTTGACCGAGAGACATAGCAATGAAGATCAAGTGGTGTTGTCTCATTGGGATCATACGAAGAATAATCTTCAAAGGTAAAATCCAACATTCTTCCTTGATTTATATTTTTTTTTCTGTGTTTTAAATTTCAAAAGAAATTCAAGAACGCATTCTACTGCTTCCGTTCCGGGATTCACATCCCCTTCACTTATGAATTAGATATGCGGTAGGAATGGTCTTAAAAGTGTTTGATGGACCTGATAAGCTAGTCACGACATACTTAAGCTACAAGAATCACCTGATAGGACCCGATAAGCCTTATAAGCTAGTTATGATCCCGTCAAAGGTTTGAACTCGTCTCGTGAAGTTTTAGATAGATGTAGAAGCGTGACGACCGTGTTGTTGGGAACTAAGATGATGGAATTGAGTTAAAAAGAAAGAATCTCACCTAAGATCAGACCAAGCCACAAAGGGTGCGAAAAGTATGTTTTACCTATAGTTCCCTTTAAGGCTGGCCATGATCGAGGTAAGATCATGGCACTCGTGATAAAAAAAGTATGATCGTTACATTTGGTATCAGAACCACATTTTTGTGTGTAGTTAGATAGAAAGACAACTCAATTGCTAAAGCGAAGACTCTATAAGTGCGTTAAGAGTGCCAAGATGGCATGATTGTTGTGCCAATTAGTATCAGAGAAGAAAAGAAGGGGTTGAAGTCGGACTCATCCTTGTGACCCAATAGTGTCAGATGTAATCATTTGATTGAGGGGAGTCCAACCCGTCAGAAAGAAAAAATCAATCTCATTTGTTCAGGGCTTTGGTACCCAGTTGGTCAAGAGTTGATCAGAAGGTGAACTAGGCAGGGTGCCTTCAAAAAAGCCATTATCGTCAGAGGGATAGTGTTAGTGGCTATCAGTAGAAAGTCGGGGGTCAATATGACATACATCGGTCAAGTGCAAGAGGTGCATCAAGCATGTCCACAAGTGGTGGACAGTTTGGCTGATTCAACAGCTAGTTGAGAGAGGGGAAGTAACTCGAGATAATGGGTTATTTGTTCTTAGTCGGTGTTCAGAGTCAGTTGAGCACCTGTCCCTTTAGTTGTTCTGGTTAGGTATACAAGCTTGCATGTGTGCCTTAGAGAATGGGTCACGTTGCATGACGATCCTAAGCAGACAGTTTTGCAAAGAAGTTGTTGACGCTAGTATTTGCTTAAGTGAAAGGGAGCCAAATTGGAAAAGTAGTGGCTAGAAGATTTCAGTGTGAATCGTCATTGCAATGTATTTGCCATATTGGGTGGCGTGGGTAGAGTTGGTGGAAAGGGAGTGCCAATCGTGAGGCATCCTGTGTGAGAAGCTTTTGTACTTCGTTACAATTGTTTTGGCGCCACTATAAGAATACTTAGTGATTGGCAGTGCGCCTCACCTTGGGGTGCACCGCTTTGTGCCACTCAGACAATATATGCTAGTGTTGTGAGTTTGGGCAGTGTGCCCCTAGCTAAGGTGAGAGTATGACGAAGTTGTTCTCCATGTTCTGTGAGGTGATCCTTGGGCCAAGTGTAACAGTTGGGCGCAGAAAGGTTCACAAATGGGATAGCAAGCATTGTGCGTTGTCATGGTGATGTTGCGAGTCTGGGGGCTAAGTCCAACAATAAGGCACGAGAAGGTCGTGGGTGGGATAGCTTAGAGTCAGTGAGTAGTTCCATATTCATTTTGGTGCATAAGTTTTTCGGTGAGTCAGTTAGCAACCAATCTTAAGTTTCACGTCTCCCCTAGATGTTTCCGAGTTTAAGTAGGTGAGAGTGTTACAACCCAACGTGTTATAAGTGGTTTGTACCCATGACTATGATATCCAGGATGATGACAGTTTAACTGTGGGAGAATATGACAACCATACTAGAAGAGAGTATGTTGTGACGTTCACAAAATGGAGTGTGCCGATGTGTATGTGATGTCCATTGAGCCATGTTTAAGACTAAGAGAGAAGTGTCATGATGCAACCAAGGAGAATGATGCATCACCTAACGCAACAAGATGATGCACGTAGGAAAGCCTAGCTAAGGCGCAAGCAAGATTAGTTGCAATGGCAATGTCAATGACAAACTTAGTGGGGGCCAATTGGGGACTCAAGCCATGACTCAAGAAGTTGGGGTTCCATTAAAAGTTTGGACAACATTCGTTCTACGCTGGCAAACGACTCCTTGCGACTTTGAACGTACACGACTACTAAAGAAGGAATGCCTTAGAATGTGTTGATGTAGGATTCTGTCGAGCCACGAAAGGTCGGCCATGTGGAAATGAGGGGCAAGCTAGTGAGTTGAGAACCTTAAGCAAGAGGGACCTGCAAAATGAACAAACACTTTGACGCTAAAGTTAGACGAGGCAAGCTACAGTAATTTGTTCTTAGAGCAAAATTGCGTACATGAGTAACAAGGC